CCAGCACCAACTTCCAAAGCAACAGTAAGCTTTAACTGGGCAAACACCAAAGAATACTTTCAGAAGCAGCCCAAATTAATCAGGAAATAGGCACTTAAGAAACAGATAGATTATGGAGCTCAACCTGAAAAGATGAGCTTCAGTCAAACTCAGCAAAATCTCACACATCTGCTCAGCCTTCACATATGAAAGTAACATTTATCCATTATGCAAGGTCCCACAGTAAACCTACAGTTCCCTGCCTGTACATGCTTCTGGGTCAGGGCTCTGCTCTGGCAGTTTGTGACTCTGCAGTAAGAATGATGCCTTCAGCATGCTTGAAAGTTCTCGCCCTAGGTGTGGCAAGAAGCCCAGAATTGCTCACATCACAGGAACACCTGACAGACATGTGAGTGCTGAAAGAAACAGGTTCCAGGTGGGCAAACGCAGTGAAGAAGCTCAAGAAGAAAACTCAAGGGTTAATGCAAAATCTGATCTGCAAGCCCTCCAGGGTCAGGAGCAATTGCTTCTGAGAAGTCAGCTATTTACCATCTATCTACAGTAGTGAGGACTGAGCAGGAAGGGAACACAGTGCAGAGGCCTGAGGCCATTGCCCGACTTGCAGGGAGTCTTTCTACATCCCAGACTAGCGCTCCTGAAGAAGACAGCCTTGAGGGAAAGCAAAGGGAGCTGTGACAGGAACACCCTGGCAGATTTCAGGAAAAGAGCAGGGTTCTCCCCAGTTACAGATGGAGAGTGGAGCCCTGCTATGGGTTTGCTTTGGCTTGGCTGCTTTATTCAGGCACAAAGGGAAGCGTTCAAGGGTCCCTGAAGCAGCACAAGCCAGTTTTGCCAACACAACATAACACTCACATTACAGAATGACAATTCACCAGTACCAGGACAACATTCCCAGCAGCAGAATAACCCAAGTGTGTAAAGCTCTCGATTTTAAACCTCACGAACACATGCAAGAAATAGGAAGCTTCTAGATTTGAATCCTTTACTTGGAATTTGCAAAGTAAGAACAAAGCAGGGTGTCACACAAGCTTCCCATTCCTGAATTAGCACCCAAGCCACTCACCATTCCTCCTCTCCATTTTGTTTTGCTTCCCACAAGCCAAATGAAGGTGCACAGAAGATGTTTCAAACTAAAACCTAGTCTTCGTTTGAAACCTACTACTTTCAAAACTAAAACCTCACTTTGCTCTTCCCCCGCAAGCTGTTACGCTGCCTGCAGTGAACACCAGGGGGGGCTGGGTCAGCTCTGTTTATAAGAGCCCATGTTCTGCTGCAGTCCTGGATGGGCACAAAGTTGACTTTCTTTGAAGGAGCACAGAACCATTTTACTACACTACGCACAACAGCAATTTAAAGAAAGCCAAGGGCCAAAGCAGTTTGGAGTGTCAAAGAGAAAACAGCCTCATCATAAAGCAATTACATTTTGCAACAGATAAACCGTGGCACCAGGGATGCAATTCCCTATTAATGCAACCACATGTCCTGTATTGTGAGGCAAGTTCATAAACCAGAGGCTTCAAAGGAGCTTTGATCTCCTCTGTCAGGGAGAAACTACTTGAACTTCCATTTAGATGCTGAACTACCTTTGCAAATTGCTCCCACTGCCCACAATTACAGCCATCTGCATGACAGTCACCTGCTGCTCCTAATCTATTTAACACCAGGGAGGAATGAAAAGCAGACAGAAAAGTCACAACTGGAAAACACAGGTAAAAGATTGTTTCTAGTTCCAGGATTCAAAAGCTTTGGTTTTACAAGCTAATGCTAAATCATGTATTCTCTAAAATTAAAAGCCGCTACATTTGATTCTTTATTTGGCGATTGGTAAATTGTGATACTCTGAGCCTAAAGATCCAGCATTAGCAACTGACACAAGCACAGACTAATCAAAATGGACAATAAGCGCAACAATTACCTATAGGGGAGCTGACAGCTTAAAGAGGAAGGTCTTTCACTGTTCTAGTATAGCCCTGCAGTTGGGAGGTATCTTTCAAGAGACTTCTGCTACTCCAATCATGCAAGAAGATTATACCATCTTCTTACAGGAGAAAATTAACTGTTCTGCAACATGAGATCAGGGCTAAATGATCTTCTGTTAAGAGCTTCAGTAAGCAGACTGTCAAAATTTGTGCTCTGAATCTATCAGTGCTTAAATACTGACCTAAATTCTTCTCAAGCTTTCAAAAGAGCAACATTCAAAAGTAGCCTCAAACCATTTAGAAAGGCACACAACAGAGGCAGCTCTCTCATTTCACTTCTTTTGGTCCAGAAACACACACAACTGCACATGCACAACTACCATGTGTTGGCCTTTATAAACTACAACGTGCCAGCTGCTTCACCAGGCATGGAAGTCAGCCTTTGGTATGCAGAGCATTTGCATACTTTAGGGTAGTGCAAAGACAACCTCCCGCTATTCAACAGGAAAAGCAGCCCTCTGGCCCTGACATACTGCCACTACGGGAAAGTAGCAGTCACTGTAAGCAGTGGTAACTCCTTGTATTCTACCCAGAGCTAACAGTGTAATGCATGTGAGATGTGAGATGTAGCAAACAACACAAAAGCTTCAGCTTTGACTATCACAAAAAATCATGGCGGCAAAAAACACTGAAGGATTTTTCTGCTATCAAAGGAAGTAGCATGTTGTAACTCTGGCACCAGCAGAAAACAGTCCCCAGAGCTTGCTGCAGTGTCTGTGGCTGGCTCTGTAACCTGTTGATACAACGGCTGCTGTAAACAAAACCCGCATCACCCTTGGTGGTTTTTGCAGGATTACAGTCTCCTGTCATCTTTTTTTCTCCAGCTTTTGTCTACTTGATCAAAAATTAGTAGAAACTTGTATCGATTCCTTTCCAGTGCCCAAGGGAAACCACACTGAGCAGTACAAAGGACACTAGAAAAGCAACTGGTGCAGAAAAATCTGCCTTTAGCTAACTTAGCTACAGCTATAAAAAACCTACAGATAAGATACTGATGTCAAAAGCACAAACTCAGCAGCTTAGGATCCCTGGATATGTTCTGTTCACAAGGCAAGCCACTTTTTGAAGGACAGAGGAAGTTTCCCTAACCACTCCAACTAATATTACTGATAAAAGCAAGAGCATCACTGGCAAACTGAATCTGTAACCACCATGCAAAATCTACAATGCCAGAAGCAGATCAACCCCTGAGTAATTCTAGGCTTATCATAATTATCTGTGGCTTCTTTCCTTTTCCCTAGAAAGAGGTAAACAACAAGGTTCAAGGCAGATGTTTTTGCTAGCTCTCTGCTTTAAAGGGTCCTATATTTCACAAAAAATTGCACAAAAAAGTAATTCCGTTCCACAAGTGGAAGACTCCTGTTCTGAAGGAAGCCCACAAGGTGAGCTTCCCTGTAAATCAACCCCCTCCTTTAAGTCATACACATCTATGCTCATGTTAGGACATGACACTCAACCTACAACACACAGATCGTCATGCCCAGGCTTTAAATAAGATTGCATGCTGATTTCCTGCAACCCCAGAGCACCAGGAATGCAGTTCTGCTGTATGTCATCTAGTAATACATCAGAACACAACATGGCTTTTGTATGCTGGCCCTGTGATCCTACAGCATTGGCTGTTCTCACCCAGCAGAACATTGTGTTTGAACAGGAAAAAAACCCAGGAAAATC